CACAGAATTCAAGAGAACCAATAATACTTTGCAGCTGTGTAGAGATTCCATGCAAGGATCGCAAAGCACTTCAGAAACATTAACTAACCAGGCATAAAAACCTCTGATTGGTAGTGTTTTACACTGTGTACATGTTGGGAAACTAAGGCAAGCACATTCAAGAACCCACAGTAATTTCGTGTCACAGCTAAGAATCCTACTTCGGCAAGCTATGGTTCATGCTTGTAAAATTTTTGGCTTATTTATGACTACAGTATTTTGTCTTTTATTCATTTGATAGAGTTTGAGGCTTTGTCTAGTTTTCTTTTGCTGAGTGTCAGAGAGATCAGTCTAAATTATACTATGTAATCCTAGAAGTCTATTTTTTGTTAGTCCTGCATCTTTTTTCTCTTACCAGCAGTTATTACTCTGTTACTCTGCCTCTCTGTCATGACAGCTTGCCACAAGGACAGTACCAAATTTAACACTGAAAAGCCTCCAGCATTTGTTGACATGCAGGTACATTTGTATATAGACTGAATATGTAGTAAGAGGTAATAGGAGAGTTGTAAGGTGGTAAACCAGTGACTGATACAGGAACTATAGCTATATATCTATACCTACAGATTACTAGATTTCTAACTTTTTTTTTTCTTTTTTTTTTTTTTTTTGCAATGCTTAAAGAAACCTGGGTAGATACAATGCATTTAATAAAAATCATTAACCTCATCCTGCATTTTAAGATATATGATGCTCTTTTTATTACTTTATATATTCCAGAAATCATGTAGTATTCTAATTAGTTTTAAAAGGTAGGGTTCTGCCAGAAGCAGAATTCTTTCTAAATGTAATTTTAGACCACAAGTTGAACTCTTCTCTGCTTTTCAGCAGATTTATAGCTACTTTTTATTTTCTCACTCCTGGTTAGATTGACCTATGACCAGAATTTCTCAAAAGTTCTCTTTGATGCCACAGTTCTCTTCAATCTGACCGTTTTATCTCAATTTGTGCTGAAATCCAAAATAAAGGGTAAAACAATAAGCACGCAAGGAAAAAATAAAATATTACTACAACCAAATTATTTTTCGGCTAATGATTATTATCACAAAGAGCTATTAAAACCCCACACTTTTTTCTGACCTTCTGATGAGACTGTCACATTTTCATTTTTGCATTAAGCCCTTGAACACTATCAGCTTCACACCAACACTCAAAATTTTAAATACTGCGGGTAAAGGGAGTCAATGGATCAAATTCAGTAGATCTGAAGTCACTGAAATAAAGGCCCCTAAGAAAAATGTGTCAATTTTAAAGGTCTTTCCTAACTGAAGACCATTTTGTGATAGAGCCAAAGGTTAATAAAATCAGTAGTGAATGTAGCAATTTTACAGATAAGCTATTCACAACAAGTGTAGTTACTTGAATAAAAAGCTAATTCAGTTCTAAAATGCCACATGCAGTAGCAGTGAATAGCTGCTTTTAGGTGCTTTCTGGAGGAGGATAAAATACAGAATCACAGCACTCTTCTTTTCCAGCATCCCTGGCTGCCTGTAAATTGCTGTGAATGGGACTGTAGGCTGACAGGCTCTATTAAGACAAACTGCCTTTCTCATCGGAGAGATAAAATAAATCAGGTGTTTAGTCAAATTAAAATACTTCAGATGGAGCAGGCCCTGGGGAGCACTGATCCACCTGACAAATCTGAGAGAAACTCAAGACAGATGTGTTTTGGGGATAAGGAAGACCCCATGGAAAAAAAATGCACTGCTGTCTTTGGAGTAAGAGAATAGGATTAGAACAGAGAGCAAGCTGTGGTATATAATATTTTATGGAAGCTGGCATATTTACTGTTTATTTTTTACTAAGCTTTTTGTTTTATCTGTTTTTATGGGAAATACATTTTACAGATAGCTGCATTTTTATTTTATTTATAGACATTTTTAGTCAACAGCAGAAGTTTATTTACTGGTAATGAGTTTAGGAATCTCACTGCTTGCTGAAGTAAGTGGATGCAAAACAGATGATGATGGCACACAGCTACTGATGACCTCTCTTGGCCCAGCCAGATCAGCTCAATCTGGTCTGCGTTCTAAGCAAGTTGGTTTTTATTGGTATTTAAACTGTAAAATAATGGTTGGGATTTTCCACTCTAAAATTAAGTTATACCTCCCCCCAAACTGCTCATACAAGAACATTCTCATCTTATGCTTGTTCTTGTCTTGAGCAGTGCTGGGTTAAGTGTCTTGCAGCTTCATGGAGGTCTCGTTATTTTCCAGGAGCACAGTGTACATTTTGTGGTCATCAGTTCTATTTTGTTGTTGGATTACATAGCACAGTACAAATTAAAGAGCAGAGTACTTTAAATGGGGTCATTTATTTCAGATGTGTTTCTCTGAGGGGAAAAAGGAGAGGAAAACAATTACTATGAATTCCTGAATAAGAGCAGTTACTTCTGCCTGGTATTGTTAAAAAAAAAAAAAATCAGAGAAAGAAAGAAAAAAATAAATGACCCTATACATTTGTGGCAACTATATTAAGTGGTTCTAAGTAATCATAACAAAACAACTGTATTTTGTAGCCTTAGCAGACACTCTTTGTGGTAGCTTTCTACTCATGTTACGAAGCAAGCAGAAGCTGTACAGAATAATATGGAAATGAAGTGGGAGATTAATATCTGCTTTGGGTGTGTAAAATATTTTATGACTGTAAGCTCAGGGGCCTGCATTACAATGCCAAAGCTCCTTGACAGATGTGAAAGTCTCAAGTTGTCGTCTCCCAGGTGGCAATGGAGGGCAATAAGTATCATTTGAGGCAGCAGGTTGCTTCCCATGGCCTTTTCTAAAATAGATGGAGTGGCTGATCTCTTCTAGTCACAACAGGCAAAGGAGTTTTTCTTTGGCAGAACAGTTTTTTAGCCATGAAAATGATTTTCAGTATACAATAGCACATTCAAACCCACCTAAATAACCTTTGGACCATCATGAAACATCTTCAACACTAATAACACAGTTTGGGTGGGTTAAGGTAAGTTTATACTGAAGTTAGAGATAATTGAACAGATGTCAGCAGCGTGGAGCTCAGTACATGCTAATGGATCCTGGCAAGGCAGTACCTTCAGTACAGGCGTTTTCCTGGCCAGGTACCTGCCCAAACTTGCTTTAAAAAATCTTTTGTTGTTGTTTTTTTTTGAAACAGCTTTTGTCACAGAACTCTTATTGCCTCAGTTGTGGGCATCACAGTAAGGTTTTGCAGTGGGTTTGTCTGAATAGTAGAGTGTCCTTCAGCTTCAACTTTGTGCATCAATCATACTTCTTCTTGTAAGGAAATCACCAACCCTTCCTAAAATTTCTACCACAACAGAAGTAATGCATGTTTCCTCTTCTTGAGACCTGTGTCACGTGCATACTGAATAAAGATTAGGCATTAGAGGGTACTGAAACATCAAGTTGTTGGAAACTCTTAAAACTAAGATTGTTAATAATGGATAAGAAATTGAATATTTTCAGGACTTCTTGTTGCTAAATGCAATTATTAAATGTACAGGTACCCTTTGTTTCTGAGTTCGCTTAAGCCATGCAGTTTGTTTTTTTTTCCTCATAAAGCAATTATAGACAGAGGTTTTCTTGTATGCTGCTTTTGCAAGTGAAAATCTGTGTAAGAATCATACTGGTCCCATCATAGCCCAGTGTAAGTAGTACAGAATTTTGGGTTTGTCAGCTGCTTGGCAGAAATCTGTTTTGGGTTCCCTCTCCTTATGAAATCTGTCAACTTCTTTCTTCTCTTCCCTAGAAGATATCCATCTTCCTCCTGGGAAGGTGGAGTCATAAACTTGGTGACTGTTTCTCCACTCCCTCCCAGGTCTTGTTCCTCACACATTTTCTTCCTCTTCAAAAGTCCAGTGACTTTTTTATCACAGTCCTCCATTGTGAATTGAGGAAAGGAAGTTTGCAGATATCCTCTCTTTTGTGCCACTTCTCATATAATTGTGGCAGATTCCAGACCTGAGTACTTCTTGATTTGGTTTTCTTCTTCTCCATCTCTCACTTCTCCTGTACAACATAGAATTTCTTCATCCTGCTTCCAATTGTAAACCTCTTTCAGATCCTCTTCCAATATTCCTGAACTGCTATCTTACTGTAATTGTATTACCTCTTATAGACAGCTGTGGGTCAGAGGTGCTCACATAAGAAAATGCAGTTTATGGCTGAAATACAGGAACTGACATTGCTGTTTCTGACAGAGTAATATGTTTATACATAAGATGTGATATTTTCAGATTGACTTGCAAAAGGACCCTGTACTCTCTACTTATGAGACCCATGCAATTTACCCATAAACAGACCATTAAGTATCATTAGTGCAAAGAATAAATGTACCGTAGTTTCATATTAATTAAGTGCTCTCTGTAGAGTAAACTTTGAAAGTTAAATGAAAATTTTTAAGCCATTTTCTCAGGTTAGCCATTTCTCTTGGGGACAAGTAAAGCTCATTCTTAATACACATTCCACAACCAAGGCTTACATTTACCTAAATGACCTACCAGATATATGGGTGTTTTAGAGAAATGATCAATAAACTATTAAACTGCTTCTCCCACCAAATAGCATCTTTTAAATTATGTTTTTACAATTTGTACATACTTGAGGTAAAAACAAAAAAAAAATATAAAGTGAAGGAAAATTATGTCTAATAAACTCTGAACGTATTTATCACAGTAGGCAGGTTTAGATGGAAAAGATATAGGGATTTGTACAAACTGTGTCATTAATTACCGCTGTCAGAAAAAAATGAAATGCTCTATATCTATTCTGCTCCAATTTCTGTTGCATCCTCCCCTGCTTTGAGCGCAGCAAAGCTATGTGTTAGATTCTTTTGAGATTTATTAGTAGAATATATATTCAAGCTGCTGTTTGAAATAATAATGTTGGTGATTCAGCCGTTCATTTTTTTTATTTTAATAAATATTGCTTTGTAACTATTGTCTGTCTCATATTTACAGTGTCTCTTTCCTGCCCATTTAGGTACACCAGAAAGCCTGGCAGAAAAAGAGCGACAGCTCTCTACTATGATCACCCAGCTGATCAGCTTACGGGAGCAGCTCCTGGCTGCCCATGATGAACAGAAAAAGCTGGCAGCCTCACAAATTGAAAAACAACGGCAGCAAATGGACCTTGCTCGCCAACAGCAAGAACAGGTGAGGCTCCAAGGAAGAAACCTGTGAAAATGCTTCCCGCAGAATGCTTATCAAAAACACTGTTCTGCTTGGTGTTTCCTTTCGTTTTGTTTTTTCGGTAAAAGTGCTTAAACATCCTCAGAAGTTACATTTTTTTTTTTTTTTCCCCCCAGAAAGAGGAAATATATAGGACCCTGAGAAAAAAAGAAAAAAGCAGGGGGGATGGATTCAAATGGATATTCAAGTAATTTCTTTCCTAGAAAAAAGATTAATTTGTTAGATTTCCCAGTTCTTGTTTCTTGCTCTGATGGAATTTTGAGAGTTACAAATAAGCCAGACTATAACCATTATTTAACTCTCTTTTTGATAAGAAAATAATTAAAAAACCTTAAGCATCCTCAAACCTTCAAATATCTTCTACGAGTAAGGTTTGATTTGTTTGTTCAGGTTGTGAAGGGTTTGTTTTTTACTGTTGTCTTTTTTGTTACTGTTTTTTTTTTTTTTGCTTGTTTGCTTTAAAAATGCATTTGTCCAAAGAGCTGTCCTTGTCTCACTGAACAAAAGTGCAACAACAATGATCCCATGCATCAGTCCCCTAGGCATTAGATCAGACTGATCCAAATTAATGTGTGGTTTTTAGGAATCTGACATTATTACTAGAATTATCTTTTCAGTTAAATATATTTTATAGGATATATACAGCAATATATGCTCTGTTGATTTTAATGAGTTGTGACGTCTGGTATTTTATGTGCTTGGGTATTTGCCCACATGTAGGAATATGGACTCATCCCCTAATGGAAAATAACATAAAGGAACACTGTAAAAAATCAGAAGTTAGAATGTCATTTAGCCATCTAGAGATGACACAGTAATTAACTATTGACACTTGTGAATAAGCTAGCACAAATTAATCTTGACACATTTGCAGACGAGTGATATCTTACAGTGAACACTTTGTAATTATATTTCAAAATGAAAATTAAATGACACTTAAAACTAGGTTGTCATGCTCAATGAAGCGAGCATGTAGCTCAACCGATAGGCAAATAAAATTCAGAATTTGAGCCACATGGTGCTTGTGTACCCTACTTTACTGTGTCAAGCCTATACATCAAGCCGATGCTATGGTAATTGCGTTGCAGGGTCCTGGGTGCATTTGCTATCATAATACTGCTCCATCTAAGGGGAACCATTGAGATTAGATGCTTCGAGATGTATTTCTTGTTTTCATCAGGAAATGCCCATTCAAATGGTACTACATTGTACATATAGGTACAGAAAGCTGTTCCCAAGCAGTCCAAACCCCAGCAGATCAGTGCCTTTGCACAAGTAAACAAAAATCTCCTCCTTGCCTTGGCTATAGCTTACCATATTAAGATGCAGCCAGGTCGCCAGCAGCTCCAGACGATTCTGGACGTAGGGTACTGTGTACCTGTGAAAAAGCAGCACAGCACTGAGAAGGAATGACCTGAAATGTAGCTCCATGCTCTGTCTGATTTCAATGTGAAATGACAAGTAACTCTTTTCTGAAGCTGCACATTGTGATAATCTTTTACCCTCTCTGAGATTTTAGCAGCAGGGGCAATGTGGACATAAACCTGACAGACGTTATCTTTAGTTACAAGCACTACACTTCTAAGATGGAATTACATGATTGGTGTGTTACTCATTAAAAATAGTAACTCCAGCCCTCATACACTTTTTAAATATTCTATATAGCACAAATACCGTTAGAGTTGTTTTACCAAGCATAGATGCTACTGCTGATCAGTAGTACTGACAACACATACCTGAGGTACCAGGACCTGCCCCTGGGCTACCTGGGCCCATGGGCTGCTAGCTCTGTTTGAATTATGTTTCTCACTTGCACACGAGGATCCACTTCTTCAGTCTTCACTCACCATATATTATTTGCTTGACTGGGAGGTTCATCCAGAAATATTTGAACACCAGGCTCCTTAAAGGAGTTTCAGCCCTGTTATGAGCATCAGTGTAGTGGCCTTTGAGAGTTGCTTGACTTTTTTTGCAGCACCTTGCTGTGATCCAGCCCCAGAATCATTTAGACCCTAATTTGTCTCCTTGAGGCTATGTGCAAGACTTAAAATAAGTATAAATGTTGTGTTAGTTTCTTATACAAAAGTGATTTTTAACTGAAAAAAAAATTTCAGCTATAGTGAATTTAAGTGAAAAAAATTACAGCTATTTCCAGGTGATAGAGTGAGAGATTAAGGAAACGACAGCCTTGGTCTCTCTGTGTGCACAATTACAAGCTGTTAATATGTGACTGCAAATTCTTTATGAGTTAATCCGAACAGTTTTCACTAAAACTATGTAATTGTTTACTGCCAAACCAACTTTGCTACATTTCTGTAATTTTTTAATCATAAAAACATTTTACTTAGCTTTCTCTGTTTATAACAGAGTAAGTGTGCTCAGTAGATGTTGGAGAAGGAGAGAGGGAGGGTTTTTGCAAAAACCAAAACAGTGGATTTGAGTGACCAAACTACCTTTGTCACCAACTACTTGGTGTTTTATATGATTCCTCTGCTCTAGATAAATATTTATAGGAGGGGAAATTATACTTAAAGGAAGGTAGCAGAAGTGCTGATGCTGGGATTTCCAGGAAACACAAATCTTGTCCTCATTTCAGTGTGCTGCACAGCTACCCTTCTAAAGCAGAAGTTCCAGTTGTTCCCCCAGCTCCCTGTGGCTTCTCCCCCGTGGCTGCCATCCACATCACCCACTGCAGGGAGCAACTCTGTGGTCTGAGGGCAGGATCCTATTTCCCTTCTGCCCTAGCATGATGATTCTAGAAGATTTGCGGGAATCAGGGAGGTAGAAGTGGTCTCTGCGGCAAATTGTCTGTCAGCAGTCTCTTAGCATTCCCTGCCCTGAACAGGAGTGAATCTACCAAATGAGGGCAAGAATACCTACTTATTTCATAGGATTATGTTGAAGATGAGTTACTGAGCACCAGGTACTGCTTTTACACAGAATAAGGCTCTGCTTCCCTAAGCAGTTCCAAGGATGATTTTGGAGATTTACAAGTGAAGTAATGTGCTGCTCGCAGTGAATGAAGTTGGAGAAGCTTACCCTAGGAGCTTGTGCTGAACAGTGAAACATTTATAAATACTCGCTAAGGCTCCAGTTCAGCAAAGCAGGAAAATGTATGTTTAACCTTAAGCACCTGCATAATCCCAGCCCCATTCAGAAAAGCACTTAATTTTAAGCATGTGTTTCATTCCCATTGTAGCTAACAGTAATGCATCATAGTCAAAGATCACCACAGGCTTATATGCTTTGTTGAATAGTGATGAAATTATTCACAGGCACACAAATAAACCTATGTTTCTGTGCTTTGCAGAGTTAAGGCCTCAGTGCTTAAAATAAATGTTTCTTACTGGCTAACTAGATTTTTATGTTGAATTTAAATTTATCTCTAAAATATCCCTCATCTAAGAAAAATTATTATGCTTAATAAAATATAATAAAGAATAACAAATATGATGTTTTTTACTCAATAGTATTGAAGTTTCAATATTGCTTTTTTAATTTTACGCAAATTTTATTTCTAATAGATTGCAAGACAACAGCAGCAACTTCTGCAACAGCAGCACAAAATCAATCTACTGCAGCAGCAAATTCAGGTCAGTGTATTTTATTGCTCTCTTCTGATTATACTTAAATTCCATTTATGTAGAGGGAAGGGTCTAAAGTAAAGCAGCCACATGCTTTATTAACAAGCCTCAGTAAAGATGCTCTTTATGGGAGCTCTTCGTGTCTTAGAAAATTATTGTCAAACGTCTTTTTGGTGCAAAAACCTTTAATAAGCAGAGTTTTCTTCTGAAAGTTATGAACTATTTTTAAATCTCATCCTTTTGTCATAATTCTGAAATCTGCAATCAGTTTGACTTGTACTGTGTAGAGTAAAAGCAGAATCTCAATCACTGTTTATGGAATTCTTTGTTCTACAAAGGCAAAATTGAGACATTAGGACAGTACTAAGGTCCTGGGAGCATTCTGCTTATGTACAAAGACGCACAGGTATATGTCTTCCAGGTACCTTTGGAGTAATTGCACCTTCTTGGATCTGGAAGTGTTCTGGAGATACTTATTTAATTATCTGTACTTGTACTCAGAAGCTGGTTTAATTTTGTGCAGGTGTATGTGGGTAGGGAGTGACATGGATGTAGAGGCATTGTTGACATGTGACTATATTACCTTATCTACTTCCTACTTGGAAAACATTTCCATGGACCTGTTCATTGATTTAAATATCTCAGTTTGGTCTGACAGATGATTGTGCTGCCAATCATTTCGTATAAGCTTGGGCTATCCATTTTTTTTCCTTAATTAGCTGATTGCTCTGTCACTAGATGCCAAAACTGAAATTTTTTTTTCTTTCCCTTATCCCAAAAGAATGCTTGTAAAAGCTTTTGAAAATGTTGCAATACAGTTTAAGTTGCACTTTTAAGGAGTTTATTTAGCAAATATAAATGTGTTGATACCTCATATGAGAGACACAATTGAATTTTAAAGTACCATTATTGTTGTTGCCTATTAGAATACTGAGGAAAAAGTACACCATCTTCTCTATGTGTTATTTGCAAGTCTGGCTTTAGAAAACAGAGAGTAATGTGAAAAAAAAATCTTTACTTGGCATAAAAACTAAGACTGAAACCTAGCTGAGTCTACAAAATTGAAGAGTTATTTACATGAGAAATTTCTATTTTAAAATTCGTTTAAAAATTAGGACCCAGAAAGAGGAGTAATGACGAGGTGATTTTTGTTTCTGTTTGGAGAATGTGGGTATGTTTTACTGGGGAGTAAGTGCTCTGCAGTAAAAAGTTCAAAGGTACTTCATGTTTCGGTTCAGTCAATACTTTCCAGTACCTTTACCCTTCCACTGTCTCCAGGGAAATGTGGTCTTAGAATAGGTAGCAAGTTTATTTTGGAATAGTTTATGTGTTCATTTTCTCATTCACTTCCAACGTACCTCTTACACAGTGCTGAAGCCTCCATAAGTTTTCCTTCCCATCCTTTCCTAGATGTATAAGTGAAGAAGTGTTTCAATGTTTGTTCTGTTCGTGTGAGCAAAGTTATTTCTTGGTGATCCTTCCCTGTATTTGTTTTAAAATTCTTGCCAATATAAGGTATTATGCCATGGCTTCTCAGCAGTTTGGCCTCTTTATTTGTCAATGATCTGTATAGTTACATGAGTCTAATCAGTGTATTTGAGGCAGTGAGGACTGTCTCTTCTCCCAGCTGTTGGGCAGATTCCATCTCAAACATGCATTCGTCTTATGGGGAGATGACTAAAAGAAAGTTTCTTGGGAGATTTTCTTCCAGGCTAAACACCAGCTTACAGAGTCCATTTGCTTGTCAGCCAAGTGGTTCTGCTTTGTTTATTTGTTCTTTCTTAGTTTTGTGGCAGATTTGGTGCTAGAAGTTGCTTGAGAGAGAAGTTAGTTGCTAAGTTGCCTCTGCAACATAAGTTTTCTGCTGTAGAATTGGTTATGAGTGTTGCAGTTTGAGGTTGTGTGGTTCCTCAAGGGCTATAGCTGGGATGCAGGTACTTCTCTCACCAAGAGGCAGGTGAGAGAAGCAGTGATGTGCTGGTTTTCCAAGGTCCCCTTCCACCATCTTCCCAAGAAGCCTCAGTAAAAATTCTGAAGTCATGCTGGTGACTCTGGGTGGCATTAATTGTATCAAAAATAAGTAATTGCAGTACAAACTCTGTCTCAATTAATTAGCCAAATTGTGCTTATAGTGAGCAAAGAGAAGCAAACTGAAAGGTTTTAGGATGCAATTAGCCTTGTCCTAAAGTAGATATTTAAAATATATCAGATAAACTGTTCCCTAAAATGGCTGTTTCTCTCTATTAACTATGAAGGATACTTATGCCGATGCCTTCAGTGTAGAGATGAGGTGAACCATACACTGAGGCTTGAGGGGGAAGAAAAATTTATATTATATTTTTACATTCTTAGTTTCGATTTTGGGCTTGGTAGAATTTGTAACTGTCCCCAATAACTTGATTTTATTTAGAAGGTTTAGTTAAAGACACTCTTGAAGTAACGATTTTCAAGAAAGAGTGATTACCCTCATAGACTGATGTGGGTTCTTATCTGTACTTTCGGTGCTTGAGAATACAATAGTGTTGCTCCCTGACACTCCTGTTTTGAAGAGATTACAAAATATGGGTAGCACAGGTGCCAGTTCCATCTGGGCATGGGCCTATTCATGGCACAGCTACTTGAAGCAAGAACAGTATGTTCTTCAGGAGGCAGGAGAGGGGCATTGCTGATGCAATGTTTTCATCATGAGAACACGGTGTATCACTGTCATCTTCTGAGGTACAGAGTTCATTCTTAAACAATAGTCTCTGTAAATATGTGTATCCAGTTTATTTAACCATTTAAACAATTAGAAATTACTTTAAATAGAGCTTAGAAGATTTTTGTCAACCACATTTAAAAAAAAATAATCCATGTTAAGTAAAACGCATATTTTCCTGGACAGCTACTGGTTTAATTTACTAAGAATTTTCATTATTTGGTATTTATTATTTATATTGTGCTGTACATTATTATTTATTTAATAATTTCACAACCTTATTTCTTTTAATTGGGGGAGGAATTTTTTGTTTTGTTTTATTTCAGTTTTAAGACCATTTATTGGAGCGCCTTACTCCAGACTTGTTATACATCCAAAACTTTTTCAGCAATCTGTGAGCAAAGAGGGCATTAGCTAGGCTTAGTGTCTGAGAACAGCCCAGATATTTAAGAGTACAGAGGTCATTAAATGTTTTGCATAATCATCTCATGTTTTCTAAGTGAAGCTAATGTTTTTTTCAGGGTGTGCATGTTGGGAAAAGCAGTTTTGCCTGTTGGCTAAAGGGAGTGAGAATCTGGACTTGTCCTCAGTCCTGTCTCTGATTATCTGAAATTTTGCAAATTTATTTCCTTTTCCTCAATTCAAGTGTAATGTTTTGAGAATCTTAAATGAAAATTTTCAAATAAATGCTGTGTATTATTACTTTTTAGCTCAAATGTTCATAATGTTCATAAACACTCTTCTACAGAGGAGTCCACAGAGATGGGAGGAAATCTAGTATGGCAAATTAAGTTCTTCTTTCCACAGAGCTGTGCAGAGAAATCATTGCTTTCAGTGCAAATTAAAGCTGAGAAGCAACTTGTGGGACAAATGAGAGCTCACAGATCAGTCTCCAGGTTGATTAAGATTTTTTAAAAGACCTGTTTGGTTTTTTTTTAATAAAAAATATGCATTCCTAAAGTAGAGGGGGTGAAATAAGACTATTTCAATGTGCCTGTGCAATGAAAGCAATAATCTCTAGGAATAAATGAAAAAGCTGGTTAAAGGAGGGATTTGGTGGTACGTGATGAAGATAAGACTACACTGGGACACGGGAAGACTTGCATTTCTTGGACGGTTCCAAAAATTTCTTGAGGGCCTGAAATCCCTGTGCCTCATTACTGGAATTCAGTCCTTACAGAACGAGGCTTGGGGACTGCTGCTGAGCCCTGTCATGCCCACCTGAGCAAGGGAGGTGGATCCTACTGTTGCTTGGAATGTGTTGCTCCAGGTTTTCCCTCTGGGAATGGGGAGGTATGTGGAGTTAAGGGATGAAAGTCTGAGGGCTTCCCTCCTGTGGTGGGCAGGTTTCATTAGGGCAAGTCGTAGATTGTGGCTGAAATCTTTAAAAAGGACAGTGGTTGTTGAACTTTTCTGCAAAAACTTGTGATGAGTACTACTTTGACAGACTATCCAAGCTACTTTTGTCCATACCTTATTCCTCTGTACTGTGCTCAATGCCATTGCAGAGCATTTAGTTTTCTGTTTGAATCAGTACGATTTTCTTTGCATAGTGAAACTGGTTTTCTCTGCTCTCATAAGTATTCTGTTTTAATTCCGCCACTAGAAATTATTCCTAATAGTAATTTTTTCTAGTTTTAATCTATACATTCATGCTGTTCTACTTTCAAATTAATGTTCTTACATTTTCTGTTTCAGTCAAGTAGAGTGAACATGATTACTGTGATAGTAAACAGACAAAAGATTAGTAACATAAAATTACAACTATTTAAACTGTCTTTGAATAGGAATCATTTGAATCATCAGTAAAACTTAAGAGACAGAGCCAATGAGTCTCTCTTCTTATCTATGATTAACTACTGACAATTGAGGTACCTGGTGAGCTGAATAAGGACTATCTCTTTATGTGAAGTACATGTCTAAAGATCAGGAATAATTACATTCCACATTAGCCTTCATAGCCTCCCTGACCTGGTTAATTAATTTTTTGCTAGGATAATAATAGTAGAAATAGATTTAAAGATATGCTTCATCATTAAGTATGTAACTGACCTCCAATTTTAAGAGCTGAACCTTTCATTTATTGCCTTTTGGAGACAGGTTAAAGCTTCTTGCAGAGGGCTTGCTG